CTGCAGAGTTTGGTTCTGATCAATGTATTATTGTAGTTATTGCACCAGTGTCCTTTAGAGCTTTGTTCTTGTTAATGTGCTAGTGCCCTGCAGAGTTTGGTTCTGATCAATGTATTATTGTAGTTATTGCACCAGTGTCCTTTAGAGCTTGGTTCTTGTTAATGTGCTAGTGCCCTACAGAGTTTGGTTCTGATAAATGTATTATTGTAGTTATTGTACCAGTGTCCTTTAGAGCTTGGTTCTTGTTAATGTGCTAGTGCCCTGCAGAGTTTAAGAAAACGTGATTTGAATTATCGTCCTAAAATGTTGTCTGACTGCAAGGTTCTTTTCTTTGCATAGGATTCTACTATAATTATTTGAAAAAATATCCAACTTTTCTCATTATTTTTATTTGTATGTTTTAGATCTTAATAGAACGATGTATTATGGTTGGTGCCTTCCCTTCACGGATGGATTTGCTCGGAAAAGATCCTTCTGGTAGGACGTTTTTTTTTTTCTTCTTCTTGTTTCAACTCCTTAAATAGTATGTAAGTTGAAGTCAAGTATTGAAATAAAAATGTAACTCGCAACTATAATTGGGATTACATATTCTCAAATGTATAGTATACAATATTTTGGAGCTCTTGAGAAGTCGAATCTTCGTCGAAGAGACTGATTGGTAGTTATCATGAAAAACAAATTTAAGACTTTTATTGATCAAGTAGTTTTATGTGCTAAATATTTCGGAAAAAAAAGTGATGGAAAGCGTGCAAGTATTTGAATATTATATACAGTGTTTTTATTTTTTCAGAACGTGTAGATACAATATAATTTAATATATTCCACGCTACTCTAATTTAAAACAACTGCTTTCTTGTGCATCTTGTACATGAGACCTTTACCGACATACATAAGTTTCAATTAGTTAATCTTAATATGATTGCTGGTTCCAAATATTTTAATTAAAGACTGTTCAATGTACCATTAAATATGTTTTTAAAGTTTGTTTGGTTTGAATTATTTTACGCAAGCAGTTTTTAGGACAGACATTAGAAGGCATAAAATTATTGATGTTGTTTACATTATAAATTCTTACAACTTTCGGATGTTTGTTTTTCAAAAATATTTTTCTTCCATAAATATCATGAATAGATTCAATTATGTAGCCCCAACAGTATTATATTAATAATATTAGCTTTTACCCCAAGGCTTACAATTAGTGGGTTTAAAACATTGACTTTTATTGATTTCATTTTTTGTCTCAGTCACCTTAAAATAAAAAGGTTTTACTTAAAAATTGTTGAAATTTGAATTGATGCTCACATGGTTTTTATTTCCTTAGAGATCTTTCTAAAATACTGTAATTGCTCCAAATTTGAACATCTTTCTTCGCAAATATTTGTAGGCGTGTGTTGTAATGTCTGTATCTATTAAACATATAATAATCACATATACTGTTTTATAAGACATATTTGTTTTGAAACTGTGGAGGACGCATCATTATAGCAACATTTTCTTGAGTGTTTTAAGTAAAGTACAAGCGTTTAAAACTACTGCTTTCTAACGTAAAATAAAATAAATCCTAGCAAATTCAACTGGTGAGCCTGTCTCCTTCAGGACCTTTCCATCTGTTGAAAGTAATATGACTTTATCGGTTTTTATCGTGATTTACTAGCCTCGTGTATTTTACAGTCACAGACAGACGCTTTCCACTTAACACTGTAACAATTTTCATTTCGAGAGACAATAAAACATTAATGTTAAAAAAAAGAGCAGACTTCTTCAATAATCGTTCAGATGAATTATTAACCATAGATTTCTTTCACATGTCTTTGTTTTTAATCTATGTTAAACAATTATCTTTCTAGCGACAGATAGTGAGATTGTGTATCCCAAAGTTCACCGTTTAAACCGTGATCGACGAAGCTTGAACCCACCATACTCAGACACCGTGATGACACTCCAGACTAACAGAACTATCCTTTACATTCAGCTCCATCCATCTACCAGTATCATTAACCCTGATATTATAGCGTCTATTAAGCACGAGAATGGAACAACAGAATCGTTTCGCCCTCTAGCGTTATCATCGGAAGAACCGTGTTTGTTTAAAGGCCACGTCATCAATGGTAAAGGAGGACAAGTAGCTCTATCAACGTGTGAAAGTCAGAATGAAATGGTAAGTTACTGCAATTACATGAAAAAAAAAAGGAGAACACAAACTATGTTCCTATATGTGTTTGGATTTATCATAGGCTAAAAGTTTTAAACACTTCTGTGTTGTTAGTTTGTTTGGAATTTCACGTAGTAACTACTAGAAGGCTATCTGCGCTAATCGTTCCTACCTTTTGAAGTGATTGACTAAAGAGAAGGTATCTAGTGAATATCGTTCACTGCTAACCCTTGAGATACTCCTTACAACGAATGGTGGGATTGACCTCCACTTTATAACGCCAACAAGGCTGAAAGGGATTAAATTCAAATCAGATTGAGAGCCGAGTGCCCTAACCCACAGGTTATGCCAGGCTTAACACTTATGTAGGGATCGTATTGTGCTGTAAATTAACAAACAGCGATTTGTAAACAAGATATCTGTCCGTCTGCTTAAAAAATCATTGTTTTGATTTATTGCTAAAAGTTATTAACACACCTTAGCGTATTAATCTGTAATCGTAATGTACAGAGGAATGTTTAATATCGCTGCCGGATGTTAGGTGTACAAAAAGCTAAAACTTTAGAAATTTATTTTTCAGAACTCTTTAAAGTAAAAGCAAAATTTTCACTTGACTTCATATACTGACAAACAAGAAGCAAAACCAGCACAATAAGCCCATGGTCGTCGTTCTAAAGGTCAAAAGTCATTACATCGACACTAATGCTACTTAAAGAGACCGCGAGTTTTTTTTAGAGTTACTGCGTCATTTTCGAACATCTAATTTACTTCTGAACAAATGAATGTTTTATAAATTGACAGCTACGTTTTTCTTTATGAAGCTGACATGAGTGTGACATAATGGTTAAAATTTCGTGCTTTAAGGTGTAGGTGCGTTATAACAGTGACAGTCAATCCTGTTATTCGATTAAGAGTTGCCGCTAGATATTTAAAAAATCGACAGGTATTTTTTTCTTTATGAAGCTGACATGAGTGTGACATAATGGTTAGAGTTTCGTTCTTTAAGCTGTAGGTGCGTTATAATAGTGACAGTCAATCCTGTTATTCGATTAAGAGTAGCCGCTAAATATTTAATAAATCGACAGGTATTTTTTTCTTTATGAAGCTGACATGAGTGTGACATAATGGTTAGAGTTTTGTTCTTTAAGCTGTAGGTGCGTTATAATAGTGACAGTCAATCCTGTTATTCCGGTTGTCTTTCTATTACCTGGCCGTTTAAACCACTGGGTGCATAATGTGGCTTCAGATGAACAAACAAACTTTATCTAGTTTACATTATCAGAAGATTAGAAACATTATCTTGAATTAATGCCAGTTTTGGTGTAAGTATTTTTAAATAAAAAAAACGCATGCGAATTTTTTTTTTAAAGTTACAATTGTGATAGCATTACGTTGTGTTGAAATGATTAATTGATCAAATATTTAAACATGTGTAGACTACTTTTTGAGGAAATTCAGAAATAAATGACGTATCTTGAAATGACTAACACTATTATTATTTTTTTTTATGAGGAACAGTAGAATCTGACTGTTAAGAATAATTAAACACTAATTATGAAGTTACTCTTATGGAGAATTTCAACATAATAGTCTCCTACATCAGTGGTTTTAAACTTTTGTTGTAGATCATTTAGGAAGTTGTTAGGATGAAAAATATTTCTTTATACATTTAGTTCATCATTAAGAGAGAGACTGAAAATAAGGTATAAGTAAAGAAAATCTGAGTGATATTTGAAAACAGGAAGTTTAGCAAACATTGAAAAGAAATAAGCCGTGGAATATGCATTTGTATAAAAACTGTCAAGTCTAGATAATGTTACGACAGCGGAAGTCACGTGATGCTGCTAGTTCATGCGTGAATGAGTTCCTCGAATTATCAGGGACCTCCTCGAATTTTGGCGAACCCTCTTGTTTAGTATATAAGCCTGGCAGAGAAGCCAGCGATAGATAGATAATTAAAGAAGCGAACAGTAGTGACGGTAATATAAAGTATGTGTGTTTTGCACTCGTAGCGAAGTTATCGAGATTATTAATCGCTGTGATTTATAGCGTGTATTATAAAAATTGTTAAGTTTAAAGTGACGAGAAACGTACTGACTGTGGACTTTCTGTGTACTAAAAGTTTGTATCGAGGAAGAATAAACTGGTTTAATCAAGAAGGGACTTGTATCGCTGAAGTTCCTCGGAAATAATTTATGCCAGAAATTAACAAACAACCAGATACACAACAATAATAATTGCATTTAGCAACTATATTTTAATCATTAAAGGGTCTCGGCAAGGATCGGGAAGGCCGTGCGTCATGCTCATTATATAGGCCAATGGCGGAAAAGAACGTGGATATTAAGGAAAAATAAATATTTTACTGGGTGAGATAAAACGCCCTCCGCTGCGGTAAGAAAGCCCCACATGAGGGGACGATTTACCCTAAGCCACACATCATTATAAAGTCAATTTGTAAACTTGAACCGTGATTCTTTCTTTTACGGCTGTATATTTGGCTGTTTCTAATTGCTCCATTTTTGGAATCAAGAAATGAAATTCTCTGAGATACCTACTTTGTAACTACAAATACTGAAAGTGCTTACCTTAGAAAAAAATGTTCAAAAATAACAACAACAATGTCAGATTTTTATAGGGCCGGATTCTTTAAAGTAGGTGTGTGTGACTTGCTCGCGATAAATTTTAATAATGAATGGACTGCACACAATCCACTTGTTTTAAAATAATATATTCAAAACAAGTCGAACGTATGTACAAGAATTTGTTACACTATTGATTATCACAGTTGTATCCAGATATTTAACTAATTGTCTCTTTTTCATCAAAGTCCACGCAGGCGGGTTCAATTACTTTAGAACACTCTTTGGCAAGACAAATTATTTCTTCTCTCCTCTGTTATCACAATACAATCAGTGATAAGTTCACTTTAGAAATCGCCTGTTATGGCTACACTGACAATCACGCAGTTTAACTTCAGATTTTTAATTTTTACTTTCACTAATTGGGTTGCTTCCTCTCTTTGTATCTGCGTGTATTTATAACACACAATAGAAAAATCTAGAAATATCTAGCCCTTTAATATCGACAATATTACACATAACGAGAAAACCCAAGAAGCTTCAAATAAGATGACGTGAACAACATTACAAAAGTCTAGTACAACAATTAAACTGCATATACAACGTACGAATCGTACAGAATTGCGTAACGAAACTTGCCATAAAAACTAAATAAACTAAATAATAACTCTTAAATTGAACAGTCTTGTATATCCAACAAACAACAACATCAAAAATGAAGTGATGCTTTGAATATTTACACTTTTGGTCACCTGCTAATATGATGACGTCAACAGTATTTATATATGATTTACTCTTGATGGCAGAACGTCATAACTGATGATATACACAGAGGTGGCGTTTCACTGAAGTTGTCCATCTTACCTCACTTTCTCCTATCAATATATCGTAGTGAAAAAGAAATAAAAAGCTGAATAATATTTAAGAATATAAAGCTTAGAAACTCTGAGAATAAATTAAGTAGACTAGAGTATGTATACAATAAAACCATTAGTTGTATTATGAAATGAACACCAAGGAAAATATGCTCATACAAAGAGGAACTAACCAATTAAGAGTTGCTAAAACTTTTCTAATTAGTATATTGACAAATATCCATCGATCTGCCTTCCTTGTATCCTAATTTCTGACTTATATACAGGGTTGAGTATACTATATTAAAAGGATTTCCAATATGAAAGTCACGTGATGACAGCAGCTGATATAAATATGCAGTATTACAGGACTACATTTTGACATTATTGGGCGTTCGTTGGTACATGATGCCATCAGAAATGGATTTTTTTCCTGGAAAGGTATGTAATAGCTTTTCTCAATCCAGATCATAAAGATGGTTTCAGATTGAAGATTTAAATAGTTTGAGATGGTTACATCCCTTGCACTTAATGGCATTGGAAAACAAACAAATATGAATCAATTTGGGGTACCAAGACCATTCAGAACGAGACCTGCAGTAAGGTGTACCTCATTCATGGTAAGCAAAGTGCGGTGTCTTGGAACAGGTGAGATTCTACCAACACAAAAAGTCAACCACACGACTCAGGCAACAGTACATAACTTAACCGAAAATGATCTTCGTCTAGAAAAGCGACTCAAGCAGCTGTAGAACGAAATCGTATTCATTCTGTTTCATATACCAGTGAAATAAAAACTAGGAAAATGTCGTTCTTGTACCCTAGATGGATGCCAGAAAAATGTAGTGAGAATGGGGGTGCTTTTGACATGATGGCCTGACGAAGAGGCCTTTTGTATTGGAAACTACATTTCAGGTGTATTGTCAAGATACACATTCATCAGGTAGAGTATGATCGCAAGTGATGACAGGGTCTGTAACGACGTGGTTAGGCTCCAAATCGATTTTAATACTCAACTATTTAGATAAAACTAGTTTCGCCTTAATAGTGGAAACCTGCACCACAAGATTATCATAGGGTCTTTGATAAATCAAAACTTCAAAAAATTTAAAATAATACAAAAAATAATAAGTTTATTTACAGATTTTTTGTTAACACGTCCAGGTCTACTTGAAAACCGCTTTGTTATACGCTCTTGTATTAGCATGACGGATTCTATCCAAACTGTAGTTTTTAAAATCAGGAAAAATATCCAACAAAACTTAAATCTTTTACAACACTTATCAGCTTACAAAGTTAGTAATAAGAATCGTTAAGAGAGAAGAGTTTAAACAAACTGATGAACTTCTTGTGTCACAATTTCAGGATTGTAAAAATATCAAACAAAACTTAAATCTTTTACAACACTTATCAGCTTACAAAGTTAGTAATAAGAATCGGTAAGGGATAAGAGTTTAAACAAACTGATGAACTTCTTGTGTCACAATTTCAGGATTGTAAAAATATCAAACAAAACTTAAATCTTTTACAACACTTATCAGCTTACAAAGTTAGTAATAAGAATCGTTAA